CTGCCGTATTTCGCCGAACCTAACTGATTAGAAATTACAGTAAAAACAGAAACGATTGAATGTAAATCAATTTATATACCCGGTACATTCATAATCATATTACATTATTGTATGCGTTGCGACCCATTTGTGTCAATTTCTAGGTCCCAAATATTAGCGACTTAGCTCCTTTAATAAAATTGATATACAGATCTTTTGTTGTTTTAATTAAATTGATATTGTGTTTTAATAAATTGATGGTTGTGTTTGAACAATGTTTGTATTAATGTTTTAGTACTTTGTTGTTTTAACAGATTGGTAGTCCTGTTTGTTTTATTATTTCATCATGAAGCACTTCAAAGAAAATCAATTAACAAAACATCAAGTAACTAAACTGATTAGTAGTACTAGTAGTACTCATACAGGGCTGTGCTTTCCAGTGGGGTCAGGCAGTTTGAAGAAAGATCCAAGACCAGCGGCTGCCAGGCAGGATACGCCCACATTTTCGAGAGATGGATAGAGAAAAAGCTGAAAAGGAAGCGATTTTTCGTACAATCAGGGGCCATCATTCAGGAAGTTACGGTCCGACATGTGCTAATATCGAAAGGAACCGAGATCTTTGGGTTATAAACTTACATTTCAAGTTTCAACAAAATCGGATAACAATTGTGACCTCTAAAGGGTCCACAACCTTGATTACCATATTTTTACACTATTTGAGAATGAAGAGCGGCCATTTTGTCTGTCAGTTTTTGGCCGATTTTCACGAAATTCGAACTCTGTCGTCCTTAGGGTGTAATGGTGATATAATAATACGTTTTTTTAAATCGGATAAAAATTATGACCTCTATAGCGTCCACTAGCTAAAAACGCGATTTTTCATACAATCAGGGGCAATAATTCAGGGAGTTACGTTTCGATATGTGCGAATATCGAAAGGAACCGAGATCTTTGGGTTATAAGCATACATTTCAAGTTTAAACCAAATCGGATAAAAATTGTGACCTCTAAATTGTTCACAAGCTAAAAACGTGATTTTTCTTACAATCAGGGGCCATAATCCATGAAGTTACAGTCCGATACATGCCAATATCAAAAGGAACCAAGATCTTAGGGTGATAAACCTATATTTCAAGTTTCATTGAAATTGGATAAAAATTGTGACCTGTAGACTGTTCACAAACAATTGTGGACGGACATCCGTCCGGACAGGGGCAACGACAATATACGTCCACATGAAAATGTGGGAATATAAAAACAGACTTCATGTATGTTATTTTAAGAGTATTTGAAATAATTCACGATACAATTATCTGATATTATTTACAATCATTTTTGTGTTTCTATTTTATTGTAGACTGACTACAACCAAAAGGACGCTGTGTATACACTACAGTGCTGGAGTTTGGGAATATAATCGCCGAACACCGCAGAAAAACACTCTATTTCACGGTGGAGAATCGCTAGCGAAACGGCAGCTAGCCAAATCATCGCGAAATAGGGTGTTTCGCGGTGAATTATGGTGTTTCGCGGTGAAACACGGTGAATCGCTTGAGTGCCTATATGATCCCGATGTAAGCATGTTGACGAAAAATGTAATTTATTTAAGTTGAATACAAGATATGTTAACCGTTGGCGAGGCAGCTACGGTCGTATTTCTAACACACTGTACATGTATAACGTGGTGCCACAATGTACGTGTATGCAAACAATGAATAACTTACAATTTTTTAAACGTATCATTTCATCTTATTGGCTGCTATCAAATCAAAACTTTAAATTATATTCGATGAGATTTTACACATAACTTCATTACTCGCAGCTTCAGTTAATCTAAATCAACCATTCATAAATCACAGTGCCATACATGTAAATCACTCCGCAATGCGGTTAACCGTACGTCACGTGGTCAGAAACGCGCGAAAACATGAGATGATGGGTTCGACACGGGGACTATATATTCTTACGTTGTGTTACTTGGCGAAAAGTATTTAGCAAATCTTGACTGTCACCGGTATATGATAATAATGTATTATGACGTATTAAAATAATATGGGTGGGAGGGGGTACACTGCGAAAGTCACAAAAGTGACAAATAGAACTTGCAACGGGAGTCGAAAGCGCTTTCAAATCAGACATAAGAAGCTCGTACTTACCGCAAAAATGAAATGAACGCGACACAAGTCTCCGATGTCAGAGAATATTAGTAAAGTATAACCGCTATCAAATCCACACAAAAATCCAAGGCACTCATTTTATTTTAGAAAAGAATAACTGTAGGCTCGATAGAAGAGCCTATTCTTCATGAACCCCAAACCAATGGTAACTGTCAACTTGTATGTTGTCATTCTCGTGCAGTTTGTTTGAATAACAGAAATGTCCCGTGTATCAAGATCAAAGAATAAAATCGCAGGTAGCTACTATTTGTTGTTTTTATGCAAATTCAATTAATCTAAAAGGTGCTCTGGCGCAGTTTAAGGAATTATTTTTGAGCCAATATTAACCATCGCCAATTTTTTAAATCATGGGATAAAGTCAATTAACAAACAATACGGGTCTACTTTATTACAAAAACATTGGTGAATTTACCATTTTGTCTAAAATCATAACGCTAATCAACAAACAATACTATTGTTTTTTATTACAAAAACATCGGTGAACTATATTGTTTTTGTACATATTGTATTTATTTATTTGTTTGTACTATATGTTATACCTGATGAGTCTTTGGCTTAAAGGAATAAAGAATTTGAACTCGAACTAATCGCTGTCGGGATGGCGAGCCAAGCTAGTTGATTATTAGGTAAATAAAACAATATAAACAACCAATGAGTAAAAAAAGTGATCTATTCTAATCAATTAAATAATATACAAGTCAAGTACCGGTATTACCTTAACCGTGGACGGGTTTGCTTGTGGACGGGTTAACGGACACTCAACTTACAAATATTAAATCATCGCCGTATTGGCACTGACTGACGGCACTTCGTGCACGGACTGTTGAATTCTCGTTTAATTTATTGTGTTAATTTCACTATTGTTTAAAATGTAAACAAAATCTTATCTCGAGTACATAGTACCGTATATCGAGCTAGTCTAGTAAGTAGTAGGCTAGGTTAATCCAGACTAAAACGAAAGTCCTTTTATTGTATTAATAACATTGGCTTCTGGTAGACTCGATTGTCATCTAAGGGATTATATTTTCTTTACGCGGTCTATTTATACAACAGTAAAACGATTGTAAATATTGGCGCGATAAAAATTTAATTATAAGTCCAAGCTATTGTTGATAGAAAATAATAATGATTTACGTGTATCATAGATAATATTAAGTAACAATAGAATAAAAATACTGTTTGTTGTTTTTCGAGTTTTAGGCCATTATTACTTATTTTATGCATATTTTTGGTATGAACTTTTTTGGACCAGTAAAATCTCATTCGGTCCAGCAATAGTTGGAATAATACCTGCCCAAATGTCCAGTAAAAAAAATATCATTTCGCATGGACTGCAGGGTACATGTATATGCAGTAGGAAATCGACAAGTTGGACGTACAAAAGAATGGAATCATTTAGAAAGTGTACTCAAAATAAGTAAATTATAACAGGGTGAAGACGAGAATTAACACACTCTATCGTGGATATTGTATAAATATATGAGGCGCATGTAATGTACACGTATGTGTGTGTGTGAAATGGCTTTATTCAATATCTGCTCCCACCGAAATGAATTGGGTGACATAAAGTAGATGTATATTGTCACAGCGGATATTATTCGCCGAATAAAACAGCGTAAGAATATACATGTAGTCACAATCTTTGGCGCGTTTCTGACCACGTAACATACCGTTAAGCGACCCGCGGAGTGATTTACTGTACGTGCTGTATGGATGATTGATTTAGATTAACCGAAGCTGCGAGTAATGAAGTAATGTGTAAAAGCTCATCGTATATAATTTCAAGTTTGGATTTGATAGCAGCCCCAAATTGACGGATTTACATCTAAGTTATAAACGAAGATGAATTGATATGTTTAAAAATTGTAAGTTGTTCATAGTTAGCATACATTTTGGCCGGCGTTATGTATACATGTATAAAGTGCGTTGGAGAAAAAATCCTAACCGATACAGAATGCCCGTAAATGTCTTCCCGAGATTACCTTACTCATTTGTTATTCAAACCTGCCTGTACATTATACATGTACACATTTCCCGGGAGCATTACTATATTACAACTCCTTTAATTTATTATAGACAATATTAGTTCGACCCTAGCTTAAGGTAGGCTCGCGAATTCCTTGTGGGAAGCACGGCAAAACACGATGTATTCTTATCGAAACACGGCGAATTCCTAGAGAAACACAGTGAATTCCTAGTGAATCTTAGAGAAAAATCGCTGCGGAATCAAGTGAAATTTCACCGTGAAATCTAAGAGAATTCTGAGAGGTTTTTTTCACCACGTCGCGGCGATTTCGGTCCAAAAAATTTGGGAGGAACTGTAGGTTTTTGTTTTAGAAAAGTACTACCTACTTTCGATAAATTAGAGGAGAAATCCGCCACAGACCCTATAAAGGCTGTAATGTGTTACATATTTGACAATTGGATGACAGGCAGTACATATGGACCATCCCGACTTGGGCTGGAGTGTTTTGGGGAGAACCACAGTCACCGTGACAAATATTATAAAAATATAATTTGTTGGGCCTGGTTATCAATATATAATATCAGACTGAATGAACTGCAGTAATTGTCAGAGGTGTCACTGACAGTCACAATAAAAACCTACCTAAAATTAATACTGGGCTAGTGCTTATTGCCTGTACTAACAAACTACGACAAAAACTGCCAACCTTTACTTTCTGGCTTTCGACTCTTCTGAGCCTGACAAGTCGTCAGTTGCAGACTCTGTATTACTGCAACAGTATATCATTATGTGTCTAATGCTTTAACCATGCCTTAGGAAATCTGTAACTTGGACTTTGCACAAAGCAAATATTGAAGACAAAAATAATTCACTCTTACCGGTTGCTATTTTGCGCTCAGTTGGCATACTGCTAAAAGACACCGTTTTCTTACGCGGTGTTCGTTTGGAATGTCCATCTTTATTCATTAAACTACTCCTCCGTGGCAACGATGGTTTAGGAACGGTTAATTCATTTGTCGATTCTATATCTAAATCCTCTGGTTTAGCACCAGAATCACCATTTACAAATACATCCTCGGGTTTTTCATTTTCCGTAACACAAGCAGGCTCCTGCTGCACATCGTCCGCCATTTTGGAATCTTATTGGACGATACCACTTAGATATATAGGGGCTTTCCTTTTTCAGTAGCTGTCAAATGTAATTTCATGCAAGAAGCTTCTATTTGCTACATAAATATATCTGCTGAAATATTAGTTCTAATGGACTTCTGTTTCATTCACTGAGAGTATAAAATAAAATGTACCGCTACATTATGTCAATAAACTGTTCCATGTACTTGGAATCATGGGTAATAAAATAATTTAAATATGGCAACCAAGACGTTCGGGGAGGTAACTATGAATTATAATAAAAAGATAAACAAAATCCTTTACTGCATGAATTATTTGTTAATGTTCTTGCAGACATAATATGGTCAAAAACTTTATATTGACTGATCAGTCGAGAATGTAATTTCTCAAAAGGCCCTATATTTCACAAGCTCGAACGCGTCCAGAGATCTGCTGTCCGATTCATAAAGAAGGACTAGACCTACCGATTAAGTAATACCGAAGTATGATCAAGAGAAGAAGGCTGTGTATCTTCCATGTTGAAGGATCTGAGCTACCCACTCTCCAAGAAAGAAGACGTCACCAGAGATTGACCTTCTTATACAAGGTGGTGGAAGGGCACGTGCCGGCCATTAATATTGAGCACTACCTGAAATCTCAGAGAGTGAGAGAGTAAAACTTTCTATCAGAGCTAAAAAATTTGAAGACTTTACACATACTAACATTGTACTGAATTCAGTTAACAACAATAGCAAGTGTTTCGACATTATTCCAACTAAAAGTGTCAATTACAAACATTCATTCTTCCCAAGAACTCTATTACTACTATTAGAGTGGAATAGACTTAGCGATAGTGTTGTGAAAGCAGATACCATCAAGCGCTTCAAGACACTAGTGGCTACGAGTGAAATCTAATAGCGCACTCCTCCCCCGTTGAATGAAAGCCAGATTTGGTCGCTTCAACGTAACCCTTCAGATCAGACCCTTCAGATCAAAAACGATATCAACTGGCAGTGAAGAAACCCAACTAAGCAGGCCTTGAAGAAGTGAAGGAAATTCGAACCTGACTGAACAGTGAAGTGTCATTCATCCATTTCATCCCATCACATTTCCAATATTCAGACCAAGTCATCTAGCTACTGTCCAAATATCATAATATAAAAAAATTGTCATCAAAGTTATATAGTGCGATTTTAGTCTGATTATGTATAAAATTGTTTTAGGTGAATTTTATGCTGTCCACTGCCTTTAAATATAAAGAAATTGTTGTGGCATTGTGATGCAACACTTTTCTATTGTTAGTGAAGTCTAGCTGCTGTATATTCTTTTGTTTTCTTTTGTGTAACATATTCTAGACAACTTCTTCTTGAATGTCTGTCCAGTGCCACCTAAGTGTAACAATATAAATATAGACAAGGAAATCACACGATGCATATTTGGCAGTGTCTTTTATTCGATTACATGTCATTTCGGTCCCGCGTCATTTCGGACTTACGTCATTTCGGACTCCAAAAAATATGTCCTCAACATTTCGGACCTCGGGTACATGTAGGTGACGTTTCGGACTTGGGTAGATGATGTTTCGGACTCGGGTAGGTGACGTTTCGGACTCGGGTATAGAACATAGAATTATAGAACACTGACGTCAATTTACTTTATAAACTATTTTATTTATTAATATAGCATAAAACGATAACAGCGATTTATAACAATGCCAAACGGGCATATTTATTTGATGAAATAATAGCCTCAGTCGGGTATTCATTTATTGTATAATAAAACATACATTTAAATTCATACATTTAACATAGCATCAGTGATTTATAACAACAACAGGCATATTTATTTGATGAAATAATAGCTTCAGTCGAGTATTCATTTATTTTATAAAACATACATTTATTTTATTTATAAAACATACATTTATTTTTTCAGTTTTCCAATTATTTTAATTATTTTTTCACTTTTCTTTATTAGGCAGGTGGGCCGTACAAATGGCTTTTTTTTTTTTTTTTTTAATAGCCTACTCGTACTAATATCTTAGTGGTTATATCCATCCCATAGTTGAAATAGTCGGCCCTCTATATGCCGATACCGGCTTCTCCGGTGCCGTCTCATCGAGCTCTCCGACATCATGGTAATGTTGAGGGGTTATCTTTTCTGCCTCTGAAAATAACTCACAATAGTCACAATTAAGTAAATAAAATGACACCGGGCCCGTGGCGTTGACTCAATCAACAAAAGAAAGGCAGCGGTGTTTTTATTTCTCAATCGTTTCTTAACGGCTTTAAGAATCGCCGATCAATTGATCAATTATAGTCAATAATCTAAACTTACTCAGATTAAATACAACAATCGCCAATCAATTAAATAATCTCGGCTTGGTTTCACTATATTATCATATACCTGACAATAGATAATGCACAGTTGTATATCTGTTTGATTTGTATAAACTTTTGGGAAAAAAATTAGCAAAATAGCTACATATAAAAATATATAAACAAATATAAAATGTATTATATGTTTGTCCATGCATGTTGTTAATTGTTCATATTATAATTTTGTATAAATGTATATTTGTAAATAAATAAAGCTAAAAAAAAAAAAAAAAAAATAAATACAGTATTCGCCGATCAAGTAATATTGGTTTTACTTCAAGTTCAAGGTCTGTATGGGATAAATAAAACATAACTAACAATGTTTATATTCTTTATTATAGTGAATGGTCTGTCTTCGGCCCCATCTAAAATGAAAGAATAAACAGTTATTACAAATACATACATATAATTTTTCAGCTTTTATTGAGTCCGAAACATCACCAGTCCGAGTCCGAAAAGTCGGCAAGTAAGTCCGAAAGGTCGTCAAACTGAGTCCGAAACGACGTTTGTGTTGAGTCCAAACTGACGCAGGACCGAAATGACATGCTACCTTTTATTCAAGTGACATAGTACAGGCAAGATGCACGTGCAAAAACTGAGTGACAACATGATCGGCTACATGCTTACAAAACCAGTCGATAAATTTTTTTAACATGATAATACTACAACCTCAAACATTTTTTTTTTTTTTTTTTTTATTATTTGTTCAATAGATGTTTATTATTGTACGTAATAGTTAACAGATTACTATTTGTTGGTTAATCTCTGTAAACAATAATCTAAGTCCTATGATCACATAACATAGTCTTTGAATTTCACTGGTTGTTGAACTCTTCTACCACTTGATCGTACAGGTGTTGGGCTAGTTGGCTTGACCTGACCGTTTACATCTGGATCACTGATTGCCGGTTTTAAAGAATGTGTATTCGGATTAAGATTATCAATATTATTAATATCATTTTGCGTTTTAACGGATTTTATTACATTTACACGATTTCTCCTGTAACTAGAACCATCTGGAGTAATGACGTTATACCATCTTGGCGTATCTGCGCGATTTTCTACGAAAGCAGGGTTCCACTTATTACCATCCTGCATTCGGATAGTTTCATTATCAAAAAGTTCTGGCAAAGCTTATTTGGAGTGTTTAGCAAAATAATGCTTTTGACGCGAACTTTTGATTTTGAAATGTTCCCGGGCCTTTATTGGATCTACTACAGCAGGAATTAACTGGTTAATAGGTTGTTGGTAAAAGTGACCGTAATCGTCTACTCATCAACAGTTGCGACGGAGAAGCGATGCCATCAATTGGTGTATTACAATATTCTATCATACCTAAATAAGGATCTATTCCGTCGGATTTGCTTTTAGTTAATAAACGCTTTACAGTCTGTACCGCCTTTTCAACCAAACCATTTGCCTGCGCGTGATACAGACTTGTTGTTGTGTGAACAAAATTCCACTCATTAGCAAACAGTTTGAATTCATTAGATGAATACTGTGGACCATTGTCACTTTTTACTTCTGATGGTATACCGTGTCTGGCAAAAATTGATTTCAAATGTAAAATGACATTAGATGACTTGGTATTATTGAGTTTAGCTATTTCATAAAATCGAGAATAGTAGTCGACTGCGATGAGATAATCGGAATTGTCCCATTGAAAAAGATCCGTTGCGATTACTTCCCATGGACGACATGGTATCCTGGATGGAATCATTGGCTCTTTCTGGTTGGATAATCTGTTTTCTAAGCAAATTTCGCATTTTGAAACCATGTCAGAAATATTCTGACTGATGCCGGGCCAAAACATCACATCGCGAGCCAGTTTACGACACTTTTCAATACCTAAATGTCCTACATGAACACGTTTCAACATTTCTCTTCTAAGAGATGGTGGAATAACAATGGTTTCGCCTTTCAAGATAAGTTTGTCTGATACAGAAAGTTCATCTCTGTACTGCCAGTATTCACTAATATTAGCAGGTAATTGCCATTTACTATCTGGAAACCCGAAACAATAACCTTTTGTAGATCATGTAATTCAGTCTTCGTAGCTTCACATATTTCGGCTAGTTTGACATCTGTAACCGGCAAATGTAATACGATACTATGAACAAAATAATTCATCTCACTATCAAGATTTTCTTCACTACTGCTTTCTGGTAATGCGGCTCTTGATAACGTATCTGCTACTATCAGCTGCTTTCCTGGTTTGTACTGTAATGTGAAAGTATACCTCTGCAGTCTCAACAACATGCGCTGAAGCCTTGGTGGCACTGCTGAAAGCGACTATTTCAAAATAAACTGTAAAGGTCTATGGTCATTTTCAACTACCACTTCTTTGCCATAGGTATATGTGTGGAATCTTTCTAGGCTAAAAAGAATTGAAAGTAATTCTTTCTCTATCTGTGCATAACGCATCTAGGCATCTGTCATGGACCTGGAAGCGTATGCAATAGGATGCCCCTCTTGCTGCAAGACTGCACCTAATCCACATTTAGAAGCATCACAACTTTTGGTGATTGGTTTTGAAACATCAAAATACTTCAATACTGGACCTGGTTCACGTGTAAGTATTTCTTTTATTTCAACAAAAAATTTCTCTTGTTCGTGTAACCATATAAATTCCACATCTTTCTGCAGTAATGACCTTATTGGCTGAGTTATGGAAGACTTGGGTACAAATTTGGCCAGATAATTTACTGTTCCTAAAAGTCTTTCAACACCTTTCTTGTCAATTGGTGGTGGCATTTCCGATATGGCTTTGATTTTGCGCGGATCTGGCTTTATGCCATCAGCTATTAATTTATGACCTATATAACTAACCTCACGTGCAAAGAAGACACATTTATCAATATTTAAAGTCAAGTTAATTTGCTTACACCGATTCAAAACCAACTTTAGACGTTTTTCAAGTTCAAGTCGGGATTCTGCCCAAATCAAAATATCGTCAATGTCAGTTTCTACACCGGGTAAATCAAAGAAATGTTCAGCTATTCTTTTTTGAAATACTTCTTGCGCGGATTTGATGCCAAATGGCATTCTACAGAAACAGTATCTCCCGAATGGCGAATTAAAAGTAGTAAGAAGTTGACTTGTTGTATCTAAGGCGATCTGCCAGTATCCACTATTAGTATCTAGTTTAGCAATCCACTTAGCCTTGGACATACGCGTAGTAATGTCTTCAATAGTTGGTAAATCAAAATGCTCTCTTTTGATTGCTACGTTTAAATGTCTTGGGTCGAGGCATACGCGAAGTTGACCATTCAGTTTTTCAACAACAACAAGTGAGCTAACCCAGTCGGTTGGCACATCAACTTTTTTGATGACACCCTTATTTTTCATATAACTCAGAGTTGCTTGCAGTTTTTCACGAAGCGCGACTGAGACTTTCCTGTCAGGGTTTATCACTGGAATTACAAACGGGTCAATTTTAATATGATATGGTCTCTTTAAACAACCTAAACCATTGAAAACTGTAGGGTACTGTTTAACAACATTAGCTTTAATTTTAATGTCTAATTCAATATTATTGTCAACATTCATAACCACTTTAATTAAACCCAGTTCTTGAGACGCCCTAAACCCCAGGAGTGGAGATTGGTTAGTTTCTGTTACATAAAACTCAAGGTTTTTATTTTCTACTTTTAAGTGGCATTTAAACTTCACAGATAGTGGATTCCCTGTGTAACTGGTTAAAGTGGACGTCGATGGTTGTTTAAAAATATTTCCATTGTCTATTTTCTTGAAAATATCAACAGGAAGTATGTTGGCCTGAGACCCTGTATCCACTTTAAGCTTGACTGGCATGTCTTCAATTGTGACTGTAACAAAACATTCACCTGTCTTGAACAAATCGTCACTTTTCTCTACAGAGCCGATAAACAGAAAATCAGAGTCACTTTCATTATTCTTAATTTGATGGACAGTTTTTGAACGACAATATTTTTCATCATGATGCAGACCTTTACATCTTCTACAGGTTATACCATACGCCGGACAATTTCTCCATTCATGACGCGTTCCACACTTAAAACAATCAAATGTGTAAACCTGATACGATTTCCTTCTGGGTAAATCATATTTCTTATCGCCATACAATGTATGTTGAAGTGTCACGATACTTTTTTCTGGTAGAATTTTTGCTAAAGGAACGACTCTTCCGATTCGCACTAAAACCTGTTTCTTTCTGTCTCACACCATGAACACTAATATTAGCAACATCTTCATTTATGTCTTTCATCTGTGCTTTTGAAGGTTCATCCGCACGACAAATCGATAAAGCCTTGGCCAAAGTCAGTTCTTCATGATCCTCTCGTAGCAACCTCTCTTTAATTTTTTCATTATTGGTTCCACAAATAATTCTGTCCCTTATTAATTGTTCAGTCAAATTTTCAAATTTACAGTTTTTTGCAATTAACTTCAGGTCAGTCACAAATTGATCAATTGGTTTGTTTTTACCTTGCACACGAATATTGAACTTGTGTCTTTCAACCGTTACATTTTGTTTTGGATTACAATAACCATCAAATTTCTCAATTAAGGGTTGCAGTTTGTCTTTTTCGTCTGGTTGAGACTTAAAAGTTTCGTAGATTTCTCTTCCATCTTGACCAATCATGTAAAGAAAAGCGTTGCACTGGTCTTTTTCAGAACCATCGGACATCGCCAAGTTGAGATATAACTGAATCGTTTGCTTCAACCTGCGCCATCGCTCTGATCTATTACTGTCATTGAAATCTAATTCTGATGGTTGTTTCAAATTCAAATAGTCCATTATTGTGAATAAACTAACCTCACTTCTTATTGATGTGGTTTTATTCACTGCGACAAATGGGTTACATTTTCTGACACCATGTAACAATATAAATATAGACAAGAAAATCACACGATGCAGGCAAGATGCACGTGCAAAAACTGAGTGACAATATCAGGCGTAACCAACCGAGCACATATCTGATCGGCTACATGCTTACAAAACCAGTCGATAAATTTTTAACATGATAATACTACACTAAGTAATATGAAGTTAGTTTATACTTGGGCCTAAGACTTAAAATTTAATACTACCAAATTAAAGTACAAATTATTTTTAGCTCTTTTTTTCAAAAGTTATTATTTGTATTTGATCTACCTACTTATGGCTATGCAGTATTGTAACCATACACAGTGTGGTTGTTGCTTTTCACAAACGATAAATTTTGAGTAAGCTTACCCGTTATAATGAAAGTTATATCATAATGTTACAATTAATGAATTTTATAATAATCAGTAATATAGTTTGTTTACTTTTCAGACAGAATGAAATAATGGCTCAAGAATGGAAGTTTGTAGTCATTTAAATAAACTGCATTTAGGAACTAACACTACTATTCTAAATCCTGAAAAATGGCTTTGTTTTATTTGTGGTACTACAGAGAGTGTCTGGGTAATATTATTATGAAAGTATATATCGTCGTTGGGCGTAAAAAATCTTGTAACTCAATTTTCCTGGTTTTTATACGCCCACATTGAAATGTGGTCGTTTATTGTTGTCGCCCCGTCCGGCGTCCACAATTGCTTGTGGATGCTCTATAGGCTAAAGTTAATATCTGATTGACTTTAAATTTATACACAGTGTTTAAGGTCATGAGACGAAGAAGCCTATTGATTTTCAGTGATTTTCGATAATTACTGCCAGAGTTACGCCCCTTGATCACTTCAAAAAATCTTGTGGATGCTCTAGAGGTCAAAGTTAATATCCGATTGACTTTACATTTATACACAGTGTTTAAGGTCATGAGACGAAGAAGCCTATTGATTTTCAGCGATTTTCGATAATTACTGCCAGAGTTATGGCCCTTGATCACTTCAAAAAATTTTGTGGAGGCTCTAGAGGTCAAAGTTAATATCCGATTGACTTAAAATTTATAGTTATACACAGTGTTTAAGGTCATGAAACGAAGAAGCCCATTGATTTTCAACGATTTTCGATAATTACTGCCAGAGTTACACATGTATGGCCCTTAATCACTTCAAAAAATCTTGTGGACGCTCTAGAGGTCAAAGTTAATATCCGAATGACTATAAATTTATACACAGTGTTTAAGGTCATGAGACAAAGATATTGATATTGATATTCAGTGACATCCGATAATTACTGCCAGAGTTATGGCCCTTGATCACTTTGAAAAATCTTGTGGACACTCTAGAGGCTAAAGTTAATATCCGATTGGCTTTAAATTGATACACAGTGTTTAAGGTTATGAGACGAAGAAGCCTATTGATTTTCAGCGATTTCTGATAATTTTTGCCAGAGTTATGGCCCTTGATCACTTTGAAAATTCTTGTGGACGCTCAAGAGGTCAAAGTTAATATCTGATTGACTTTAAATGTATACACAGTGTTAAAAGTCAGTACGATAAACAGCATAGTTCCAATTATCCATTTAATCGTTAAATCGTGAAGCAAAGTTATGCAGTAAATCGGCTCACAATCCACGAAAGATCACAGGCTAGCGATGCCATCTAGAGTTGATTATGGTCTGGATAGGTTAATTATGTCTAATTAATAATTTAGATAACATTTCAGGCCTAAAGAAAGACCTGTAATAGACAGATTTAGCTCTTGCATAATGTATGTTTAAGAGTAACAACTCATTAAGTAATTATCAGAAAATCATTAGAATTTTTTTTTTTAAAGTTCTGCTCCATGCTAATGTTTAGTATTCGAAACATTTAATGTCATGGATTTAGCTTTTCAAGTTATCAAAATTCATTGAAAATCAATATACTTGTTCGCCCCAAGACCTTAAAGCGGAAATTGCAAATTTTTAAATTATATTTTTAAAATTTATTAAAATAAAGCCTGAAAATAGATGGTATCCATAAACAGTCCTACCTTGTTAAAGAATAATCCTATTAAATCTATAATTCACTATTGCCAGCTGAGAAATTGGCAAAAATATCATTTTCCTCTTCTTTTTTAAGAGCCACTTTCTGTAAGAATCAGGCAAGGCCCTTAAGTGACCACCTTCAAATTCTCTAATTTTTCAACATAATGTACCATTTAGTACTACAATCACAATTCTAAAAAAAAAATCGTTAATTTTTGTCGGTTGTTGAGATATGGGAGCTTGGAAATTGACCCAAATTTTCAAAAACAGCTTTTGGAGAATTTTAACTGAAAAATTACAACAAAGTACATGGTTACCCGTAGGTTATTTGGGTGGTTCTTGTTATCTGCTATGAGTAGAGATGAAAAATAGTGAAAAACCTGTGGGATACTTTTGGCTTACCAAAGTGTCATGGCTCAAAAGTGCGCGAAAATGAATTTTCGAGCTTTTTTCAATGGTCATTTTCTCCAAAAGCCTTTGGTATCCCATAATTTCCTTTTGTGATATTGCAAGACTACCTACATAATGTCTCTAAAATGCAAAAACATTCATGGGACAGTAAAGGCTTTTGGATATATTTCAATTCAAAAATAATTTTTGTGTCCATTTTAACACTCTTTGTAGCCCCATAATGGCTGATGCCCCGCCTTTACAAAAAAAAAAACAACACTTAAATTAAACCTTAAACATAAAAATATTATTTTTTAAGGAGAAACCTATTTGTAGCCCCATAATGGCTGATGCCCCATGTTTATAAAAAAAAAAAAAAAACTAAAATTAAACCTAAAACATAAAAATGTTATTTTTTAAGGAGAAACCTATGGGATACTGACCTACTCCTTTAAAAAAAACTAATCTTTTGTAACATGTTTTTACAAAAAAAAACTTTACTTTGACCTTGAACTTGACCCTGTGGCCCACGTGACCTTGAGATGACCTTTTATTAAAAATTTAGCCCTACACAATATCAAAAATTGAAGGCAAAATTTGAATTATTTGTCTGTAAAATCAAGGACATTTCAATCGGAAATGAAATGAAGTGAATTGGGTTTAACGTCCTACTGTTTTGCTCCTAAACTGGGCTAGTGAAGACGAGCATACGCCATACAGTGTGCTATGAGGGACATTTTGCTCGGGCAGCGACGCTACGGCCTACTCTTATATCAAACTCAAACTGCCAAGGGATCTTTTACGTTCACACTAATGTGTGCACAGGACCTCAGTTTTTTGTCCCATCCGAACGACTAGACAGCTGTCCCTGTCATCCCTCCGTCCTGCATCACTGACAAGGGGAGACAACGCCGGAAAAATCTGGATGAACTTTGTCGGCCAATGCAGGGATCGTACACCCAACCTCCAGGCTAGCGAGCCAGTGCCTTACCCACCGTGATCCCCTCATTTCAATAGGAGAAACTTACTTGAATATTGACCTACTTAGTTAATAATTAATATTTTATTATACCATGTTTTTTTTAACTTTAAAAATAGCAGTGGACGCTTATAAGGCTAGTCTCCAGATCCACTCAGTTGATTTCATATTTATATTTTTGCTATTTATTTCTTGCAATGTCTGTGGGTTTCTGTTTGTGTGGGGGGACTTTGACTTTGACATGCTTGTTATTTTGATGTCAATTTGGAAAATTGTCAGCGCCAAGTAGTCATATTATGTTTGTATGGCATGATGATACATTACCTATGGAAGAAGAACTTTGCCAATATTATTTCAATGTAACCGCTGCAAAATGCTTATTTTTGTTTTACAGATTGCAATGTCATGGTGTTAAAATTCAATAATACAAAATACGGTATAATTGTTATTTTGCACATTACACTTCTCCGTTCTGCATTTTGCATTATTGACAAATATCATTTGAATACAGAAAAAAGTCTGGACTAAGACGGAAATTAATAATTTAAGGTCAAGGTCAGTAGATGGAGGCCGAGATCAGACTGGCATACAATAAGTCACCATACAATAAGCTGACTTGCCATGTAATAAGGGCAGCTGTCTAGTCATTCGGATGGGATAAAAAACGGAGGTCCTGTGTACACTTTGGTGTGCACATAAAAGTTCTGTTGGAATTCAATATAAGAGTAGGCTATAGCTCTGGTGTCCAGGCAAAATTTCTCTCATAACACACTGTATGGCGTATGGCCGTCTTCATTAGCCCATTGGAGCAGAACAGTAAGACTTGTCAGACCCTCCGTCCGGCATCACTGACAAGGGGAAAAATAAATGCTCAAAGTCAAAGCCGGGTGGTACAAAACTCTTATTAAATGACAGGGTAAAATACCTGCGGGGTAAATATATTGTGTTCCTTTTCACTAAAAAGCATGTATGTAAATAATTTTCTGGCGCATTTATATTTACAAACATGTACCCTGAAAAAAAGATTATTAAAGTTGAAATGAAGGGTTTGGGTAGGTGGTATGAAGTAAAAATACAGGGCTTATAGAAGGGGCGGATTAGCTATACTGGGAGCATGATTTCATTGAAGTCATGGTCATTCAGCAAATGCTAGCTTGACTCGCCCATATTGCTTGACAAGTCGACTTATATTGTACGGTGACTTACATATCCCTGAAGCAATGACCCAAGAAATCCCTCTTTGCCCATTGCTGGATTGGCTTCTGATACTTGAGTGTGTCTGTTCTTCCTGTTCAATCAAATCTATCCCAAGTACAACCCGTCGTTTAATCTTAAAACTTTGGACAGTGATTTAAGGTATTAAAAATGGTGAAAATATTGTTCGTCTTCAAACAGTATTGTTTACATTGTATCCATGGTTATAGCCTCGTTTGTCACGCAATTAGTTTTTCTGCAGTATTCTGTGATGCACTGGTTAATTGAGCATAATAAATTCTTGAGTCATGTTGTAACGTTATGTAAACATATTTGGTCCAATTTCGAGCTCTGTTTATAGCGTAATGATGTGATGATGCCCTTATGGCTGCTCTCAGTTTTGTGTGTCTACAAAGTTAAGCTATTAAATCATATTGCCTGTTTATAAAAGTGGTACCAGTGTGTTTCTCATGTAGCAGAGAATCTTATGATGCAGTTTTGTGGTAACGTTGTATTTTAACTTTGAAGAATTTGACAATTTTATATTATTTCAACTGATCAGCAATGGCAAGTCAAGCATGAAATCACTGACTGAGTTTAGGTCGTTACTAAATTTAGCAGTGTGTTTACAAGTTTCACTACTGACAACTCTCTCTGACTTTTATGGGGAACAATTGCTGCCAAATCAACATTTTATTTATGGCGAGGAATGAGCGCCAAAACTGTTGTCAAACTTACTCAAGAGACCAACTGCTGTCCTTGCGAGACTTTAACCCACTTAAAAAGACACATATAGACTATCTTAAAACTCTTACAAGTAACATAACGAATTTTCAGAAAACAAGGAGAGGGTGTTCCTCGGGAAAAAATAGAAAGCATCGTATTAGTGTGATAACTTTTCCCCCATATGGAAACGACCGAGCTGTTCCCGGTAAACCTAATTTAAGCAACCTTATTCAAATAAACTGTCCGAAGGCGTTGCAAGAACCTT